CTGACGAGAGGGTGGCGGAGTATTGGGCCAGGCAGCAGGCCAGCCGTGGCCTCTGAGGAGAAGGCTGGGCCCGGCGGCACCTCTCGACGCGCTGGCGCGCAGAGGATTTATTCCCCGCCTTGCATTTCTCTGCGCACAGGTGCGCAGAGCCTTTATGCCACTATTTACAACCCTCTCCGCAGACGGCGGCGCCGGCGCCTCCGCAACGGCAACACCACTCGCCCACACCACCAGCCACAGGCACACACGATCCGGGAAAGGGTCACGCAGCGCTGTTGCCTACTCCTCCAGGTACAGGTCGTCCTCGTCGTCATCGTCATCAGCTGGCACGGGCGCGGCCTGGCGCCTAGGCTCGGACGGGCCAGCCACCGGCTCGGCCACCGCCGACTCCTCCTCGCCAAGACCCACCTGCGCCTCCACCTCCTCCCACAGCCGCGCGCCCATGCTCTCCGCCATCCGCTCCGGCAGGCGCACCGGCAAGCGGCCCTGTGGCAGGCCGTCGGCAAGGCGGTTGACCGCATCCTCGAGGCGCCCCTGGGCGCAGTACGCCGCCAGCAGGTCGAGGGCGAAGCCAACCGGAGGCCCGTGACCGTCGGCCTCCCGAAGCGCCGCCGCGCCGGCGGTGTGGTTGCGCTTGGCCGAAGTCTTCTGCTCGCCCGTGAGCTCGCCAAGGTCGCGCTCGCCCCAGCAGTCGCGCTCCGCCCAGCTCGAGCAGCCCGAAGGAAGGGTCGCGGCCGCGACGCACCCCTTGCGGCGCTCATAGCAACCGGTGCAGGAGGCGATCGGCTTCTTGCTGGGCAGCAGAGGGTTGCCCACCACCATGTCGAAGCACCGAATGCCGAGGCGGACGCAGTTGTCGCAAGGGACGGAGCGCTCCCGGCGGTGGCGAGGCAGCTCGTTCCAGCGGCGACCGACGTGCAGCTGGAGGCGGGAGAGGAAGATCTTGGTCTCCCGTATCCAGGGGAACGAGCTGCCAATGCGCAGCTCCACAAGCAGCACGGTGATGGGCGTGCTCTGGGCGTAGGCGAGGAGGTCGTTCATCGAATGACCCGCCTGCAACGGAAGGAAAGCGTCAAACAGCAAGGTCAGCAAGCCAGCCAGAGGATTTCAAGCCGCACCAGCAACCCTCTCCGCGGCCGGCACTCACCACGACGCGCTGTTTCTGTCGCGGGACGTCAGGCGCCAGGCGCTTGGCCGCCGGCGCTCTGCCCTCCGGAACCGGATAGGTCGAGTCGGCCCTTCGCTTGCCGGTGGCCGCCGTGACCACGCTGGAGAGCAGGTCAAGAGCAGGCGCCGCCGAAGCCGGCCCCTCCTCCGCCTCGCCCTCACCCCAGAGCTCCGTCGGCTCCGCACCCTCGGCAGTCTCCGCGGCGACTAGCGGGGG